GTGCCCGGCGTGAGTTTTAAGCCACCAGGTCTGGGACTCGAACTGCGGTTGACTACGTGGGAGCCCGGCGACATAGCCAGTACGCTAACTGCTGGTTCCCCTTTATTTATTTATTTTTAATCTGGCCAGAGAGGAACAGAGTGAGACAAAAAGAGAGAGGAAGTGAGAAAGCAAACTGCCAAGTCAAGGACTCTAACCACAGTTGATCATGTGGGAGTCCAGCACCCTTAACCACTATGCCACCTGCCGTCCCTACTTTTCTTTTTTAAACCTCTATACGTGCCAGAATTTTTGCAATACATTGTTATAGTCATTAATCTTTTTGACTTTATGTCTTGTAAAAAATTGATAATGAAAAAGAGAAACTGTATTCTAGTATTTGTTATGTTAACCTTTTATTTTTTTTTTACAATTTCTGATTTCTTTTGCTCCTGTCTATTTGAGTGATGAGAGAGGAAGTGAGAAAGCAAACTGCCAAGTTCAGAACTCTAACTGCAGTTGATCATGTGGGAGTCCAGCACCCTTAACCACTATGCCACCTGCCGTCCCTACTTTTCTTTTTTAAACCTCTATACGTGCCAGAATTTTTGCAATACATTGTTATAGTCATTAATCTTTTTGACTTTATGTCTTGTAAAAAATTGATAATGAAAAAGAGAAACTGTATTCTAGTATTTGTTATGTTAACCTTTTATTTTTTTTTTATAATTTCTGATTTCTTTTGTTCCTGTCTATTCGAGTGACCATTTGGTTCTTTTTATTACTTCAGTATAATTTTGCTTCCATTCATTTCTTCTATGCTAATATTGTCAAATGCTAATACTGTCAAATACAATTTTACATATTAAAATTCGGATGATATACAAATGTATGCATATTGTCTTATACAGTTGATTTTTATATCAATTAAAGAGAAAAGGGGAGCCAGCAGGTGGCATGGTGGTTAAGACACTGGACTCCCACATGGTTGACCACAGTTCAAGTCCAAGACCTGGTAGCTTGCTTCCTCACTCCTTCTCTTTCTTTTGCTCTCTCTCTCTCTGCTCAAATTGAATAATAATAATAAAATAAAATTAAGCAAGTAATTATTTTTTAAAAAAGAGAAGAAAAGGTAAGAAATATGATTTTATACTATCTTCTATAATTTCTTGTCTTATCTGGGTTTTTGGTTTTTTTTTGGTATAGATTTTAGTTAACGTCTGGGTTCACCTAGGTTAGGCCTGAAGAACTTTTAGGGACCAGCAGTGAGCATAATGGCTATGTCACTGGACTCCCACGTAGTCCATTGCAGTTCGAGTCCCAGACCCGGTGGCTTAAACTCACGCTGGGCACGTGTGCGTGTGTGCCCAATATCCCAAGAGGAGAATGGAGGAGAAGGGATTGCGGTGTGGCCATCCCCCCTGGGGAGTGATTTCTCGCTTTCTGTCTCTCTGTCTCTGTCTGTCTGGTGAGCGCAAGTGCCCTATAGCAAAAACCTCTCAAAAAAAAAAAAAAGAACTTTTAGTGTTTCTTATAGGGGGATTATCTAGCAATGAATTATCAATATTCACGTACCTTGAAACGTCTTTATTTTGCCTTCATTTTCTGAAATTCGGTTTTGCTAGGTATAAGATTTTTAGTTGACCATTCTACTAGGACTTTGACTTTGTGTTGATAGCGATTGTGTATACACATGTATGAGAGAGTGAGTAAGAGACAGAGAAAAGAAGCATCCTCGACAGAGTCACGTCACACTGTGATCCCCTTCCCCTGGCCTTCCAGCTCCTCGGGATGCTGAGTGCCTGTACCTGTAGTGGGCATGGGTTCAGGCCAACCTGGGGATTCAAACCAGCAGTTACCACAGAGTTCCCAGCCTTGCAGGGCACTTGCATTACTGGAGAAAGACAGAGAGAGAAGCAAAGTGAGAAAGTACTCCCCATGGTGAACGGTCACACTGTAATTCCTTTGCCTCCATTTCTCCCTCCTTTCGGGATTGCAGTTACACAAGCACACACACCAGGCATGTTTCTCAGGCCATCTGGTCCAAGACTCAGGCAGGTGGCTATGTAGGACCCAGGATCCTTAACCACCAGGTCACAGGCTGCCCCATATTTTTCACACTTTGAACTGACACATAATAATTGTACATATTTATGGAATATAATGTGATTTTGTTGAGACATGTATATAATATTTAATGATCAAATCAAAGGAATTAGCATGTCCTTCTCAAACATTTATCTTTTCTTAATTTGAAAACCATCAAAATCCTTTCTTCAAGCTATTCTGATCCGAAACATAGAATATATTACTGTTAACTATAGTTGCCCTACTGTACTATAGAACACCTAGAACTTTTTCCTTCTAATTGTAATTATCTATGATTTTCCTCCTTTTCTCTTCCCTGCTCTTCTCAAGTCTCTAGTAGCTACTATTTTTTTTAATTAAAAAAGTTTTTTTTTTTTTTTAAATTTGCTATAGAGCACGTGAGTTCACCAAAGAGAGGCAGAGAGAAAAAAGGACAATGAGAAAGCAAGCTTCCAGGTCTGGGACTCGAACCATAGTCAGCCTTAATCACCATGACACCTGCTGACGCCAGCAACCACTATTCTACTCTCTAGTTCTATGAGATCAATATTTTTAATATCCACATATGAATGAGAAAACATCGTTTTTATCTTTCCATGACTGGCTTATGTTACTTAACTTCATGTCCTCTAGACTCATCTATATTGCTGCAAATAGCAGGATTTCATTCTTTTCATGGTTAAATAGTATTTCAATTTTTTATTTATTAATAATATTTTTTAAAATTTGCTATAGGGCATATGCACTCACCAGATAGAGACACACACAGAGAAAGAGTGAGAGAGAAAGCTGCCAGGTCTGGGACATGAACCACGGTCAGCCATGTGGGAGT